CAAGGCCGTACTTATTCTAGTCCCACATGTATATTTTTGGAAGTGCGAGTGGAAGATCTAGAATGCGAGGTGTTGTGCAGTTGTTTGAGATCAGAGTCAATATGTTGTGAAGTGGATCAGTTTGTTATAAAAAGCGTGAGAGTGAACAGTTAGTAGATAAGACGTGTGCATATTATAATTTATAATAAATATATAATTGCTATAGAACAAACTCACAGATAAGACAAAGAAAATTCAATGTATTACGATAAAATTTTTTTATTAAATGTAAATGATAAATGTTTACATATGCGTTTGCATATGTGGCGATGCTCAGCCCCTAGTCGAGGCGTTGAAGACTGAATTGCACACATGCATTGTCGTAACGCAACATCCTCTTACATTAATATCTTGGAAACTATTATATTTCTGACGCTGCAATTTTTAATTTAGGGTTCATTCACCTACTTCTTTCCTTCAGTTTCATCACACTACTGTCATTCCAAACTTTATATAATTAAATATATGATAAATGTTTTATTATATTAATTTAATTGTAATTATTTATTTTTCAAAAAAATGATCAAAATACAAGAATGTCTACCACTCTTCGCTTACAAGGAGAGTGCAAGTCCTTCGGGTCACCGATTTAATTGAAACTTTTTTTGGTTTGCAGATTTCGTCATGCAGTTCAAGAATATATACCATTATACCCGCCACTACTCAATAGTTTTTAAGGTATTTACGACTAAAGTCTTATTACTTCTGTAACTACAGATTTATTTCCGATGATTTTCATATAGTGTTGAGGCCCTCTTTTGCCTTGACCTTCGTGAGTGTCGGACGTACCTGCCGATCCTCCGCAGCTCGAAGCATACGCCTTACTTGCAGTGTACGGAAGTGTTACGTGCTACGTCGTCTATAGTCCATACACCACCAAGATAGACAACACAGTCAATATGCACGGGACTAATCCCTTGCACACATTGGTAAATAAATTCGAATAAACGCCATAGACTGATAGAAATAGATACAGTGATAATATAGACGAAGCGCTGAGGAAAATAAAAGAAAAAGGACTTACGGTAAAGTGCATTAATAAAATAAATGCTCGAATAAAGAACGCATCCAGAATAAAGAGTTCAAAAACGCCAAAACAGGCGCCAAAGTTAATCGATAAAAAAATACAACCCTACAGCCACGGAAGTTGACGAATATGCCGCCAACGAAGAAAGCAGCCTCCGCTAAGTCTGTGGAAGTAAACGAGAAATACGCATCGATGCAACACGATGATTTATTTAAAATCATCGAAAAACTAAATAAGACGGTAGAGCCTCTTTCGAAGCAATTGGAAGAAGAAAGAGCGAAGAACAACGGGGGAAATCCCCGTCCTTCGCCGCCCAGCCGAGCCGAGCCGCCTAGCCAAGTATCCGGGACGAAGGAAAACCCAGCAGCCCCGGAAAACAATTCATCGATAGAAGACGGGGAACAGTGGATGAAAGTGGGATCAACCAAGAGATATCGCCCGAGCCAGCCTACGAGTTCATCTGTCAGCAGCAGCTCGAGTCACCAACGCCAGCCCCAAAAGATGCAAGCAGCACCTCCACCATCGGCGAAAAGAATCAAGACGATGAACGTCGACTGGCAAGAGAGCGCATCGACGGCCACCGATAACCAGGTAAGAAGCGCAAAGCCTCCCCCTATAACGGTAATCGGTACACTGTCTAAAACAATAATTGAAATCCTATCGAACACGATTCCTAATATTTACATGAAAACAATGATCAACAATAAGCATCTTTTGCACGTAAACTCTATTTCCGCGCACAACACAGCGTGCGTATTATCGAGACAACAAAATATAAAATTTTTCACTTATTCGCCAAAAGACACGCGAAGCATACCGATGCTGTTAAAGAACCTAGATGGTGAGTTTGAACCCGAAATCGTCTTGAACAAGCTCCGCTCGAAAAACATTCCGGGCATCAGATTCCAAGCGGTCAAAAAATTCGAGAGACGAAAATCCATCCA